TCTGTAAGGAGGTGTTATCAAGGTGATTGTGCATGTGGCCATTTCTGGGCAGCAGCAGAGCTTCTTAATAGCAGTTTGAAGTGGATAGTGGACAGCAGACAGGTGAAGAGGGAGGGAAGGCAACACCCACCGCTCAGGCTCCACTGGACTGTTTTGAATTGCTAGCTATTGGGGGGGTGGGGGGAACGTGCAGATCTGCTCTCACAGAGGAGGGAGAGCTTGTACCTGAATCAAACTTGGTCTTAAAGGTGCCACTGGACTGTTTTAGACCAGGGGCCGGGGGGGGCTCTGCAACTTACCTGGCTGCTTCTTGCTCTGACTGAGGGCTGCTGGGAGCAGGGGGTGGGCCTTGTTGCATGTGCCCGCCCCCTGGGCTCTTTACTGCCGGAGCTCCACTCCTGTGCGCTCCTGCAGGAAATGACCCCTGCTCTGATGAGTCTTGTAGCCTCAACTGCTTTGTGTTTTATTTTCTAATAGGGACGCTCAAATACCCACTGTTTCACCTCACATTCGGTTCATGGGTTGTGAACAGGGAGCCAATTTTTCATTGAGCAGTTCAGCCATTCAAAGACAGTTTGAGTCCTGAGGTTGCTTTCCCTGTTTTCAGACAGGATTACATGTACAGTGCAATCAGCAATTTTCAATGTGTGTGAATTCTCACACAGCCAGACGAGAGTCTACTTTCTCCTTTCTCCAAAGGAGGCTTATTGTTGATACATTCTGTGTCGCACTCAGTGATATAAACGGTCAACAAACCAATCAGTCCGCCAGCCACTATATGTAGACACTATTTTAAAAGGAGTTGGTATTTATTTAAGGAGGTGTTATCAAGGTGATTGTGCATGTGGCCCTTTCAGGGCAGCTGCAGAGCTTCTTAATAGCAGTTTGAAGTGGATAGTGGACAGCAGACAGGTGAAGAGGGAGGGAAGGCAACACCCACCGCTCAGGCTCCACTGGACTGTTTTGAATTGCTAGCTATTGGGGGGGTGGGGGGAACGTGCAGATCTGCTCTCACAGAGGAGGGAGAGCTTGTACCTGAAGGCGGGCTGGGGGGGGCCTTGGGGAGGTGGGGCTCTGCAACTTACCTGGCTGCTTCTTGCTCCTCGTGGCCTGACTGAGGGCTGCTTGTTGCATGTGCCCGCCCCCTGGGCTCCTTACTGCTGGAGCTCCGCTCCTGTGCGCTCCTGCAGGAAATGACCCCTGCATAGCTAGTTTAGGCAATAGAGCTGCACTGTACTAAACGATCCACGGAGTCATTTGGATAAATCACCGGGAACTGTGGTCTCTGCCACTGTGTTTCGTTTGCTGAAACTTAGGACCCTATGATGTAATTTTTGCATCATTTAATGTGCCGTATTAACACTTATGCTTTGCTTCAGTTCCGTTTTTTTCTGGTTGGTTCTGCAGTCCTGATTCTCTTGCATACCCTATCCTGTGGATTACACCGTCTCACTGTATGTAATCTGCCCTGAGTCTAAGGCCCAATCTGCATCTAGCATTTGCTCCGTTGTTGTACCAAACCCACACCGGAACAGAAAAAAGATGTGGCTCAAAACCACATTCATCTACCCCAGGTTAATGCCGCACTGACTGCAGAGTCACCCCCGAATGGCCATAAAATGGCCATAAATCTACGCAGACGGGCCACCATCAAACCAGAGATCAAACGAAGATGGCCGGCGGGGAAGCCGCACCCCCAACACCCACCCATCTCTCTCCCTTTAAGTGTGTGGAACCCGTGTTTCCTCCCAAGCCTGATCTCCGCAAGCTTGCAGGGAAATGCCAGCTTCGTGCTCTTAAAAGGGAAATGTGGCTGCTCTTAAAGGGGAAACGCCGACTCCTGCATTTAAAAGGGAAACGCCGGCTCCTTTAAGTGCAGGGAACTGCTGTTTCTGGAGATCCGGCGTACGGGCGGGTGGGGGGCGCGGACGTCCACAACATGATGCCATCATGTCGGGGATGCCCCACCCCCTCCAGGAACGCCCCAAAGTCCCCCGCTGGGGGTGGAAGATGGACTTGGCAACCCTACATGCAATGTAGATGGGGATTCCTGTTCCAGTGTGGGTTTGGTAAGACAGCGGAGGGAATGCTAGATGCAGATTCGGCCTGTGTAGGGCTGCCAGTTCAGTTTGACTTGGGAAATACCTGGAGATTTTGGGGGTGGAGCCTGAGGAGGGCAGGATTGGGGGAGGATGAAGACTTTAATGCCATAGAGTCCACCATCCAAAGCGGCCATTTTCTCCAGGGGAACTGATCTCTATCACCTGGAGTTCTGTTGTAGTCCTAGAAAATCTCCAGCCACCACTTGGAGGTTACCAACCCTAAGTCCAAGTGAGAAAGGCGGAATTAGGACAACGGCTGTTATTCTGTTGTCTCTCCTTTTTTCAAATATTGTGCTGTGTTTATTTGGACACGTGTTGCTTTGTAATCTGCTTTGAGCCTCCTGAATGGTGTGCAAAGCAGGATAGAAATATTTAACTGTAAATAAATGATTTATTTATTTATTTAATTTATTCCCCGCCCTCCCCGCAAGCGGGCTCAGGGCGACTTACATATTTGGTCTGTAAAGGAAGGAAGTAAGGTTGATGGTAACCAGGACGAGGGCTTTTTCATTTGTAGCCCCGTCCTACTGGAACGAGCTCCCTGCCGAGATCAGGGCTCTGCGGGACTTGTCACACTTCCGCAGGGCCGTGAAAACAGAACTTTTTAGGCAGGCGTTCCGATAGGAGCGACGTTTTACCAGCAGCGCCCTGTTGCGAGCTCCGATCCTATGCGATCTAATGCGGCGGTACCGCCGAATGTGTCCCTAAATTGCACTTTCGTTTTATCGCCATCTAATGAATGTTTTATATTGACTGGTTGTGTTTTAAATGATGTTTTAAATGATGTTTTATATCTTATTGTGAATGTATACGGCTTGTCAGTTCTTGGAAGCCGCCCTGAGCCTGCCTGGCGGGGAGGGCGGGGCAAAGAGAACTTTGATGTGGTACATGATAACAACAGCCAGAATGACCTATGCTCAAAGTTGGAAACAGGAAGAAGTCCCGAAGACTGAAGATTGGATTAAAAAACTATTATTCTCAGTGGAAATGGATAAGCTGACAAGAAAGTTGAATAATATGGAAGCAGAAGATTTCTATAATGACTGGAAGGATCTAAAAGAATACTTAGAAAAGTATTGGGAAGTAAACGACAATCTATTTTGTTTTAATAATTATTAAGCATAGAATTCTCTGAAGATAAGTAAAAAAATTAATTGCTATAGTGAAATGTTAGCTACCTAGTGGACTATAAAAAGGAAATTGATATATTATAAAAAAGAAGTGAATATGCAGGAGGTCGAAGCACTGTGGGAAGCCGTATAATAGGGAGGGGGAAAGGGAGGTGGGTAGGGTACAACGGGCACAAATGTAGAAAATTTAATGTTGACTGTGAATGTTTATATCCTGAAAAAAAATTGGGGGGAAAAAAGTGCTAGTGCTTCCAAATAATGGGAAAGCAAGTCAACACCAAATCTAAGGCTGCTGCTATTGAAGAAAGAGATATAGGACGCTCCTTTTGAACAGGCTGCTCATGGCTGGCACAGGTTCCTTTCTTGTGACTCACCTTTGCTTTGCCGTACCTCACGAGGGTTCCCATGAAAGCGACGTTGCTGAGAGTCGTCAAGTCTCTGGCTTCCGTTAGAATGCAGTCGTTCTTGCTGCAAGCTTCGGCCTCCCCCGTAAAGCTGGACTCATCCACTAAGAGGTCTGTAACCTGGTGACACGGAAACGCCAGGACTGAAGGAGCCAAAACCACCAGTTACAGCAAACCGCTTTTGAAATGGGGAGGGTTTCAGAAGCAGAAAGCGGCACGGAATGGGAAGAGGGCCTGGTGACTTCTCCCTCCCTCAAAATATTCGAACGCGAGGGCATCCAAGGAAGCTGTCCAAGAAACCGGGCTTTCCGGTCAGCCGTCCATCAACAGATATAGCTGGGTGTCATCAGCGTACTGGTGACAACCCAGCCCAAACCTCTGGACCATCTGAGTGAGGGGGCACATATAGATGTTACATAACATAGTGGAGAGTTTCGCCCCCTGTGGGACACCATACACCAAGGGGTAGCTCAGTGAAACCCTCTCCCCAACCGCCAACTGCTGCCTTCATCCGTGGAGAAACAAGGTTAGCCACCATGAGGTTAGTGGTGGCGGCTACAAGCATGGACGGCTTCAAGAGGGAATTTGATAAGCATATGGAGCAGAGGTCCATCAGTGGCTATTAGCCACAAGGTATGGATAGGGACTCTGGGGCAAGTGATGCTCTGTCATCTTGGTGCTTGGGGGGGTCAACAGTGGGAGGGCTTCTAATGTCCTGGCCCAACTGGTGGACCTCCTGATGGCACCTGGTATTTCTGGCCACTGTGTGAGACAGAGTGTTGGACTGGATGGGCCTTTGGCCTGATCCAACATTGGCGTCTCTTATGTTCTTACCAAAGAGCAGCCCCCCGAATCCCCACCTTGGCAAGGTGATGGGCCATAAGGTCATAGTCAGCTGCGACAGACGCCACTGTTAGATCTAGTAACAACAGCAGCGCTGACCTGCCTTGGTCAAGATGTCTCCGGAGATTATCCATGAGGGCAACCAGAGCCATTCTTAGCCAGGATGGAAACCAGACTGGAACGGGTCCAGGATAGAGGAGTCGTCCAGGAGCTGCTCTGCTACCACTTTCTCAACTGCCTTACCCAGAAAGGGGAGGTTCGACACTGGGCGGTAGTTGGCCGGATCCCGAGGATCCAAAGATGGCTTTGTCAAGAGCGGTCTCATCACTCCCTCCTTCAAGGCCCCTGGGAAAGTCTTTTATCATATTCTTTATCGTATCTCCAAACTCATAAGAGCAAGAAGCTTGAGATTCTTGGGGAACTAGTTGGTGAACCAAATGTCAAATCAGAGTGGAAACACCCACCCACGGGATACACACACAGTTCTGGATGCCCTGCATCCATTACCTCTGTGAGTCGTATATCTGCTGGCACCCGGTCTCCCATGGAAAGGCATACAACGTCCCCAGGTACAAGTTCTCGGGCCAGAAGATGTTGCAGTTTTCCTTCCCTCACACTGTATTTTCATAGACAAAAAAAAGGAAGATATTCTAGGAGCAGATCAGAATTGTTGAAGGACTTGTGATGAAGCTTTGCAGTGGTCCATAAATATCTCACGTGTTCTGTCCACTGCCAGTTCTAGGAAGGAAGGGAGGGAGGGAGGGAGGGAGGAAGGGAGGGAGAGAGGGAGGGAGGAAGGAAGGAAGGAAGGAAGGAAGGAAGGAAGGAAGGAAGGAAGGAA